GTGGCGAGCCTTGCACGTGAGAGGCACAGTGGAGGTGGAGTTCAAAGAAGAATGAGAAATTTAATGGTTTCAATCTGCCCTTGTTTTGTCTTTTTCTTTTTCTTTTTATTTTTGCATGTTATCACTGTGCCCGTTTTTTGCTTTTATTCTTTGTTCCGCAAAGTGCGCTCTTTTAGTTTGTAGTGATGTGACAATATATGTGCTTTAGGGTACGTCATGTGTGCAGTTTTGACATGTTTGGATCAATAATGAAAAAGTTGGCATTTTGTTGAATTCGTTGGACGCTTCATTTTGACTCGGACAGTGTCTTTGTGTTAGGGTTTCATAGTGTTTTTTTGTTTTTTTTTTTCGTTCTTTTTGGCCTGTTTGAAGCTGTTTCCTTTTTTGATGTTTGCACTATGGTCTCGTATCGTTTGTTTCTAAAATTTGTGATGAAATTCGCACTGTAATTGTCAACGAAAACGGCGAATATTTGGGCCCCCGTTAACCGTCTCTGGTAGCGCAGCATGTAGCAAGTGCCCGAATACCAAATGTGGAGGCAGGCACTTTCCTATATGGAAATGGCCTGCCTGCTGCGTGCTGCCTGGCCGCGCTGGGCCCCTGCCCAGAAGCTTCCAGTAGGCCCCAAGTGGCTGAGCCCCGGTCCAGGGGAATCAGGCACAGGGCCTGGGGCGGTTACCTGTGTCCAGCTGCCAGCGGCCTGTGTGCAGTCCATGCCCCGTGTCTAGCCCAGGGCCTGCCTCAGATACATTTGAGAAAGGAAGGCAGGGCCTGGGTTCTCTCAACCAGCTGGCGCTGCGCAACTGCCTGAATTTCCCAGTTGTGTGGTAAGCCCAAAATAGGCCTCTCGGCCTTGGTCGGGCCTGCCGTCACTTAGGGTGGCGGACATGGCTGAAAACACAGCCAGTAGGGCTGGTTGAGGCCTTGAGCCTCGCATTCTGTCCTCCATACTTCGACAGTCCTCTGAGAAGTTCAATTACTCAATCTGGCGCTTTCCTTTTTGCAGTGACTTCTCATAGTGAGCGACAGCCTGTGGAGCGGTCTGCATCAGTTCCTCCGGGGTAAACCATCTGTCCAGTTCCTCCGGGGTAAACCATCTGTCCTCCTTAGGATCAGTGTGATGTCTGAACCGAACGCAATATTGCAGCATCGGCTTAGGAGGACGTCCCCTGCCTGGCGGTCTTGGAACTGGCTTTCTCTGTGGTCCACGATGTCGTCGATGTCGACCTCTCCATCCATGGTTGGGCGCAGCATTGAGCGACGAGAGGGAAACTGATCAGTTTCCCCGAGAGCTGCGAGCTTAGAGGCGTGAAAAACAGGGTAGGTGCGGAGGTAACCAGGGATCCGAATTACATATGATGGCCCGTTCGGATCATTCCCAACAACATCTAGAACCTCCCATGGTCCGAAGTACTGTGGCATGAGCTTGTGGGAAATCCCATGCTCTTGCCCCAGTTCAGAGGCTTTGACCCTGACTCTCCTACCTGGAATGTAGATGTACGGCGATGCTTGTTCTTAGACTCTATCATTGCCGCCTGCGCTTTATGCATCTGTTCTACAGCTTGCTGCATCAGGCGTTCATATCGATAGGTGAATTCTACGGTGCCAGGTGCAGCAGTTGGCTGGTCCTCAGGTAGTAGAAAGTCTAGGGGCAGTCTAGGCTTAAAGGTCATTAGCAGGCTGTTAGGGCTTACGCTTGTTGCGCTGTGCACAGCGTTGTTGTACAGGCTGACGATGAGAGCAAGTTTGTCATCCCAGTCCACCTGGTTAGGCTTGATGTAGTGCCTCAGCAGGTGCTGTACAGCGCGGTTCAGCTGCTCTGCTTGCCCGTTTGCCTCTGGGTGGTTCCCAGAAGTCATTTGCAGCTGTGTCCTCTGTTCTGCAGCTGCGGCTTTCCACAATTCACTGGTAAATGGCACATCCCGGTCACTGACTGTTGAGTTTGGCAGTCCAAAATCCCTTACCCAGTTTTCTTTAAACAGCTTAATCACGTACTCGGTTTTGGCTGTTTTGGGCATTGCTATTAACCTAGCATACTTACTAAACCTATCCACAATGACATAGAGGTATCGCATACCGCTCTTGCTGGTGACCAGTGTGTCCATGAAGTCCATGAACAGGCTCTCACCGGGCCTTTCATGTATCGAAAGGGGCTTGAGAAGCCCAAAAGGGGCCTGTGTACATGGCTTGCCCCTTTGATAGACCTGGCAAGTCTCCACGTACAGCTTGGCGTCTCTCATCATTGTGGGCCACCAGAACTGCTGCAGCAGGTTGGCTGCGGTCTTCTTATAGCCAAAATGTTCTGTGGAGTCATGACACTCTCCTAAAAATAAACTACGCAAAGACTCCCGATTAGGCACACACAAACGTTTAAACCCGACCTTCTCAAGGAACAGCAAGCCATTGACCATTACAAACTCATCAGAAATAACTTTGTCCTGCGTTTCGAGTCTGCGTATGATCTCAGACATAAACGGATCCTCGCGATAGGCTTCCACCAGGGATCGAGTAACATCGTCCGCAAGCCCGAACTCAGTGATCAACGCACTTAGGAAGT